TTGAATTATGGTGTTGGTGAAAAATATTAAAAATACCATGGACTTGCAAAAGAACAAACAAATCTATTTTGGAAGGAGTACAGCCAGAATGCTCCTTAGAGCCCAGGATGATAAGTACTTTGGACATGCTGTCAGGAGAGAACAGTCCTTAGAGAAGGACATCATAGTTGGCAAAGTCAAGGACAAGATGGATCGATCCAGGGGCTGCAACCATGGGTGCAAACCTGAGAACAATTGCAACAATGGTCTGTGATGCTCACCCTCCTGACACGATCGTTGAAGACAAAATGGGTGCATAAGCAAATGTGGTGAAAAAAGCTGATGGTGCCTGGCTATCAAAAGATATAGCATTGGGGGTCTTAAAGGCTTGAAGTTAAACAAGCGACTATCTAGCGAAGAAGCAACAAAGCCCACATGAGACAAGCAACAAAGCCCAAAATGGAAGAAGCACACCAGCCTGTGTGATCATGAGGTGTTGGTGGGATCAGGTATCAGGCATCAAAGACCCAGAACAAAAAATCATATCAATGTGAATGAAGAGAAGTGCGAATTGGAGATCCAAAGCCCATCTGTAGACAATTAGACAACCCCTTACAGAAGGGTCACAAGGAAGAGATGAGCCAGTAAGGGTGCAGCATAGCACCGATGAAACATACAACTTTCCTCTAGTTCTTTAATGCTTCCTCCACCCCACCCCCCACTATCATGATCTTAATTCTACCTTACAAATCCACCTAGACCAGAATATGTACACTGGTACAGATAAGAGCTCACAACACAGGGAATCCAGGACAGGTAAACTCCTCAGGACCAATAATGAGAATACAGATACCAGGAGGGTAAGGAGAACATGGGGGGAGAAAGGGGGAACCAATCACAATGATCTACATATAACCCCTTCCCAGGGGGATTGACAGTAGAAAAGTGGGTGAAGGGAGACAGTGGTTGGTGTAAGACATGAAAAAAAAATTTTTTTAAAATAAATTATCAAGGGTTCACAAAGGAAGGAGGGGGAGGGGGGAAAGAGGAACTGATATCAAGGGCTCAAGTAGAAAGAAAATGTTTTGAAAATGATGATGGCAGCATATATATACTGTATGTATATATACATACATATATATGTGTGTATATATGTATATATGAATGGTGCAAAGGTGGGAAGGGTTTCGTTCTGTTTTACACAGGGTCACTACGAGTCAGAAATGACTTGATGACACCCAACAACAACATTCATTTGTCACTCTTAGAAATCAGTTTTACTTCTGATCTGAATCTGACGTGGAGGGAGAAGCTTTCACAGAGGTCAGCCCCGTCTTGCAGCTACCAGTTCCTGACATCATGCTTTCATCTCCTTCATTCTCTTGGCCCAAAGCCCGCATCGTCTCAGTCCTCCTGCATGTTTTTTTCAGTGTGCTGTTTCTTCAGAGCCTGTGTGGCAGGACCCTTGGAGGGTCTTGCCTTCTTTGTTTAGTGGCTTTCTCACATCGTCCAATCTCTTCTTCAGAGAGATTGTAAAGTTTTCAATCTGCCAGTTCTTTGGGGCCCCAAGTGATGAGGCATTGTTGTATCCATCAGTCCTGGGATATCGTCCTCTCATTTTTAATTTTACAATGGCCAGATTGAAAACACTCAGGTTGGCATCCACAAAGCAACCCCAGGCAGACGTGTGTTTTCTTTCTCCATTTCCCCGTGGCCTGTAACAGGAATCCATCCGAATCGTGGCAGAAGTGGGTCAAGACACCGTACTTCAAGGGAAAATCTTGCTTGTCATTCACACCACTGATGTAGATAATATAACAATTCCCTCATTCACCAGTGCGTCAGAAGCAACTTCTGTGTCGCTGTGGCCATCCGCTTTTTACAAAAGGTGTGAACTCTGCATTCATCATCCACTTCAATGAACTTCTAGCAGCCACGACAGGGAAGAGATGTCTAACTTCATGGTGAAGCAGCCGATCACTTCCGCAAACCCACAGAAAACACTTTTCTACTTTATATATGTTGTGTATTCATCACATCATTTTGCTTTTTCGGGTTTGGGTTAGCTCAAAAAACTTCTCATATAAATGAATGGCAGTTGCTTCTTTTTTACCCCACTTCTGCTTATAAAAAGTTGCATAGGAATGGACTGCTTTTAGATAAGGGAACCCTGTACATGGAAGCCGGGCTCATGAACAATATTTTTGCCTATTATAAGTAGCTACAGGCTTGCACCTCAAAAAACTCAAACTCACTGCCATCTAGTCAATGCCAACTCTTAGCAATTCTGTAGGACAGGGTAGAAATGCCCTTGCGAGTTGCTGAGACTGTAACTCTTTATGGGAATAGAAAGCCCCATCTCTCTCCCATAGGCAGGCTTAGTTTTTTGGGAAAAACAAAAACAAAACAAAACAATCGATTTCTACTGAAACACAGTACCAAACGTTTATACAGTCATTTTGGAGTCAGTGTCATTCAGCGTGGTCCTCACCTCCCACGCCCCCTAGTGATGTCATTGTCCTAAAGATGGTGGAGGGATGGAAACTGGTGAGAAAGAAAATAATGGTGATGGCGGGCAAGTAAATAAATGGTTGAGTAGATAAAGTCATTCAAATGACTAAAACAAAGACTTGCTTTGTCCCTAGCTTGTGCTGGGAGTGGCGAGTTTAGAGGGGGATCTGGACATGTGAAGTCTCTGGTCTCACAGAGAGGAGCGTTGGTGGTGCTCAGTAGCTCACTGGAAGATGGGCAGTTCTAACCAACATAGTGGCTCCATAGGTGAACGATGTGGCAGTCTGCTTCCACAGAGAAAGATAGCCTTGGAAGCCTTATGGACCAGTTCTACTCTGTCCTATGGGGTGTGTTAGTCTGGGTAGACTAGAGAAACAAATTCATACACTCATATGTGTATATAAGAAAGAACTTTATATACAAGAACAATTGAATATTGAGAAAACATCCCAATCCAGACCAAGTCCATAAGTCCGATATTAGCCCATATGTCTGATACCAATTTATAAATTCCTTTTCAGACTCACAAAGCACAGGCAATGACGCCGAATGCAGGAAGATCACAGGCCAGTGGATGGAAAGTTTTGTGGATCCAGTGGCGGTATAAGCATCTCAGACCTGGCGTGGGTCTCCACGTGGATCCTTCAGCTCCAGGGCTCTAGAGTAGCTCCATGTGTCTTGTCATGAGGAATACAAGCAGAGAGTCTGTGTGTATCTGGCCTCCAGTGAGCTATTTCTCTCCATGGAGCCTCCAAAGGAGGTCATTAAGCTACAACATGATTGACAGGCTAGACTCCACCCCTGCACAAATTGACACCAGATTGTATAATTGCCACAGGGGTCAAGATGAGTTAGAATTGATGGCTGTGAACTGTTTGGTTTGATGTCACAGAGTTTATCTTCTCGAGGGATAAATAAATAAACAAGTAAATAAGAAAAATTCAGTGCCTTTAAAATAAATAAATCAGACCAGTGGGATTGTGTTTATAGATGCAGGGACAATTATTCACTACCTGAGAGGCTCATCTGACGAGTGAGGAAGTTTCTCTGAGGAGATGACATTTGAGCTGAGACCCAAAATGATGAGAAAGAGCCAGCCGTAAGAAGAGCTCAGCTGGGGAAAGCATTTTGGGAAGTAGGAGCAACAAAGGAAACGTTCTGAAGAATCTAGCTATTTATGCCCTTAGAGAGAAAGACATTATCATACCATTATGGAATTTTGTTTCTGTGTCTGTTTTCTCCACCAGCCTGTAAGCTGTAAAAATCATTCCAGAATTGTCAATGCCTGATACATAGCTTCGGCTGTGTACCATTGAGTCAATCCTAACTCATAGTTTCTCTACAGAACAGAACTGTCCCATTGGGCTTCGTAGGCTATACTCTTTATAGATGAAGATGGTCAGGTCTCCTGCCCACCCTTCCAGTAACTAGTGAGTTCCAACCTCCGACCTTTCACCTTTCGCTTAATGGTCAAATGTTTGCATCATCTTGCCCCGAGGGCGCCTATTTATGTAGTAGACAGTCCATACATTTGTTGAATACTAAATTTTTTCAGTCCCAGGTACTTCAGAGATACAAAAATGACCGTGTGAAGGCCTCTGCCCTCCATGGACTCACGGTTGTGATCACAAATGATTACCGATGCAATATGGCCAGTGCTAGTAATGTTACTACAGTATTGGGAGAAAGAATGCTCACTGTAGTTGGGGGATTTAGAAAAACTTCATAGAAGAGACTACGTTGGAGCTGAGCTTTGAAAGCCCCAGCTTGGTTGGAGGCACAAGCACGATAAGGCATTCTAGGCAAAGGCTTTGCAAGGTGACGAGGCACCTGGCTGGTTTACACAGTTTGGGAATGGAGAGAAGAAGTTAAAACCAAGCGTGTTTCCAGAAAGAGGAGTGGCTTGCGCAGGAAGTGTGTACAGATCACATCTGCCCACCAGCCTAATGGAACAATTGAAACATCAGAAGGAATCAGGATGCTGTGGAGGGAAATGCTGGAGGCCTTTATCCCAGCCTCGGGTGTGGATACACGGCGGGAGGCTGACAGCTCCCAGGCCAGGTCTCCAGAGGGTAGCAGGAGAGACTGTTGTGCGGCGCCTTCGTCTTTTCCCTTCCTCCAGGTTTCTCCTCTCGTCTTTCTCCTCCTCATCCCGGATCAGCCCATCCTGCCTTCCCTTCTCTTTCCTATCCGCTTCCTCCGCGCCCTGAGAGCACAGCCCACAGCCTCCGCCCTCTTCTCCACGCCTCTCCATTGCGCACCTCCCCCCTACGCCTCGCTCCACCCATCTCGTGCGCTCGCCCCGCCTCTCCTATCCCGCGCCCGGGACGTAAGCCCCGCCCCTTCAATCCACCACACGCTTGCGCCCCACCCCCTTTCTCTGCACCGCCCCACCCCGCCCCTTACGATCGCCCCGCCCTCCTCATCCAAGGTCACTCTGCCCCTTCTGTCTCCCAGCGGCGTTACCATAGTTACGGAGCGGCGAGCAACTAGTCCTCCAGAGTGTTAGGCGGCCCGGGGGCGGCGGGGCTGGTGGCAAAGGCGGCACCATGAGCCACGCCGTGACCATCTTGGAGCCCCAGGGCAAGCCGCAGGTGTCTCAAACCCGGTCCGTGTTGAGGACGGAGCCCAGGAGCAAGGTCTCCTCCAATCGAGCGTATGATTTCCTATACGGTAAGGGCCACCCGCACTCCCCACCATCTGAGCCAGATGGGTTCCAGGTTGCGATGGAGCCTGACGACCCTCAGGACAGACCCCTTCTTGTTCGCGTTTGTCCTTTGTAGAGTAGGGGACAGGTCCGGGGCGCGTGGGAAGCCGCAGGTGCGCTCTGAGGCTGGTCACTACTCAGCGACCTGTTGCTCTCTAGCGAAGTATGGCAAGAGTTGCAGGCTTGGCGATTTAATCACTCAACATCCCCAAGTTCAAACAGCATTAAATGCCCAACAAGAACGCTTTTGTTTTTTTTCCCGTTTTTCCCCTTTTCTCTGGGCAACTCCAAATTTGAATTTGTTTTTTCTTTCAACCTGTTCTTATCCATCACATCACTGATTTTAAAAGTGCTTTCTTTGGGCCCATCTGTTTTCTCTGGGGCCAATTAAGCCCCACATTTTTCTTTCTTTTCATTCCATACCTTTCATTTCACTCCCAATTACAGTGAAAGGAACTTGACAGGTCTTCCAATTTTATTTTGTAACATATGCTCTATAGATACCTTACTAAAAATTGGTCTCTAACACAATAGAACAACAATTGCCAAATGTAATATTGTAGGGACAACAATGAAGTTGGCTGGGACAGACATACTACATTCTGTGAGTATTAAATGTGTGTCTTGATTATTCATATAGAACATTGGTCTAATATTGTCAAAATAGAGAACAACTGGAAATTCATCTCACTAATGTTCAGAGCCAATGGGATAACTATACTGTACAATGTCTTATGCAAATAAGTTCTTTTTTAATATTGAAATCTGATGGCATTTGAATTATGGTATGGATGCTCAAGACCATCAGTACACAGCATACTGCAACGAAGGGCTCTTCTCTTCACCAGCTCCAGTGCATTTCCAAATATACCCAGCAGTCCTAGTGAGGCCCCACCTGCTTCACTGCTTTCCCATTCAATCCCTGTTTATTTTAATGACCCGATTGCCAATTTATGTTCTATGTGTTTTAGACTTGAAGTTCCTTAAGTTTCTGTTGTATACATTCTTGTTGTCTCCTCAGCATCTATTCTAGTGCTGGTACAAATACTAGGTGTCTCATACATGTTTATTGAATCATTGAATTTACTTTTCTGAAAATTGTTAAGTAATTAAGCATGCTTACACCCCCTCAATTTTGTCTTCACGATCCCAGACTCTTCGCGTGAACCATGTGTTGCTTTCCACTATTTGATGTCTCCTCTGGGCTTCCCACTGCCTCCTTTGGATGTAAACCTATAGCATCAATTCCCCGGATGCTCTTGCTGTCCGGTGCCATGGAATTGGTTCCAACTCACAGTACACCGGAAAGGCACACTGCCCTGTCCTGTGTCACCCTCACACTTGTTGTGTTTGTGTCTCTTATTGAAGCCACGGTGTCAACCCAGCTCCTTGATGGTCATCCTCACAGTGACCCTGGAAGGACAGGGTAGAACTGCCCCTGTGGGTTTCTGAGACGAACTCTTTATAGGAGCAGAAAGCCTGTCCTTCTCCCGCAGAGAAGCTGGTGATTTCAAACTGCTAATCCTGTGGCTAGCAGCCTAACTTGTAATCACTACGGCACCCAAGCCTTGGTATTTTCAGTTGCCTTATATGCATGTGAAAGTTGGACTGCCAGGAGAACAAAGAAGAAGAACAGCCAAAATGCTCCTGAGAAGTGATGATGATGATGATGAGACTTCATCTCATGTACTTGGGACATTCTTGTAGCAGGAGAGACTAGCTCCTGCAAAAGAACATGATGCTTATACAGTAGAAGGTTGGTGGAAAAGAGGAACATCGTCAAGGAGTTGAACTGAAATAGTAGCTGCACAATGCTCTCCAAGATAATAACTGTGAGGGTGGTGAAGGACCAGGCAGTGTTTCTTTCTATTGCACATAGGATGGCTGTGCGTCAGAACCGACTAGACAGCACCTCTCAACACCAGCTTTCAGCCACGATCCATCTGACACCAGCAATGATTTCCCTTCTTCCTCTCCTGAATCAGTCTTGCAGCAGGCCAGTTTACCCACTATTGGTCCTTCACTGTTTCCAACTTTCACATTCCAATCACCAGTAATTATCCGTGCATTTGGATTGTGCATTTGATCGATGTCAGACTGTAGCAATTGGTCAAAATCTTCCATTTCTTCATCTCTGGCCTTCCTGGGTAGTGCATAAATCTGACAAACAGCCGTATGAGCTGATCTTCCTTACTAGGGTATGGGTGTGATCCCATCACTGACAATGTTGTGTTTTAGGGTAGATTTGGTAATTTTTTTTAAAACTATGAATGTGGCATAATGGTCAGGAATTTGTCATTCCCAACATAGTAGACCTCTGGTTGTACAATTCCAAACAGCACTACCAAGTTATTTCAGCGCACTAATGCCTAGGGCATCAACCTTTATGCATTCCATTTCAGTTTCTATAACTTCTCATCTTCTCCTATTCATAGTTTGTACATTGCACGCTCCAATTAATAGAGGATGTTTGCAGTTGCTTCTGTTCAGCTTGAGTCATGGCTCATGAGCGAAGGAAGGTTCCCGAAGCTTTTCTCCATCTGTGCTAATAAGGTCAACTCTCTTCGGAAGAGGTTCTTCCCCTGTCATCGTCTAGTGCCTTCCATCCTGAGGGACTCCTCTTCCTGCGCTATATCAGTCAGTGTTCTACTGATATTTATAACGTTTTCTCTGACCAATTGTTCAGAAGTAGATCATCAGAATTTTCTTCCTAGTTGGTCTCTGTCTGGAGCTTCGCTGAAACCTGTCCACCATGGGCAAACCTACTCAGACTTGAAATACTGGTGGCATGGCTTCTAGCCTTACAACATGTAAACCACTATCATCTGACAAAGTGATAGATGAGAGGTGGTTATCTCTTATTAAATAATGATGTTTTCTAGTCATCTCTAGATGCCAGCTCCGAGGTGGCATTTCTCTTCCCTGCGCACTGAATATAGGAGAAAGCATTAGAGCAGTATTCTTGACATGGGCTTCATATGCTCAACTCCTGGGCTTTGTGTGAAGTCCTCGCTCCTCACTTAGGTCATAGTTCCTGGCCACCTCAGGTCCAGAAGGAGGTATATTCATAGGACAGAAAAGGGCACAGGGTGTTTAAGAATATTATTAGGCATTCTTTTTGCATTCTCGACTCTATAAGCTTACTTTGGAATACAAAGCAAAGAAATGCAGTTAACAGACTCTCATTCATTGTTGATAGAACAATGGAACTGAGCTGCTGCAAAGTTAAGCGATATCTAAACTTTCTCATCTGCTTTCCAACTGAGAAACGACATGGATGTGACATTATTCCTAGTACATGTGCTCTATTCCTTATCCTGCTTTATTGTTTGTTTTGCAGATCCAGTGTTCACTGTGTCAAGTGCGAAAGACCATGCACAGGCAAATATCCAAGCCACTATGGTTCGAAGCAGACTGGTAGGTCTCCCTCATGCTGTAAGCGGCCTAATGAACTCGACCCCCCTCATTTGGTTAATAGCACTGACGAGGTTGACCAGTCTCCAGGTCCCGGCTGGATTCTGGGTGCTGCAGACAGTACTTTGCCATGAGTGCTCCAGGGCGAGCCTTGTTGCTACTTGGGACCCGTGTGGGAATAAATGAATGAATGGGGGATAACAGACTCATTATAAGCTCATTTATTCCAATGGGGAAAGGAACGTATGCCTGTGTGAAAAGAATTCAGATACCACAAAAGCGTCGTTGTTGGTAGGTGCTGTTGAGTTGATTCTGACACTTAGTGACCCGATCTGTATAACACAATGAACCCTACCTGCTCCTGCACCGCCCTCACAATTATTCTTATGTTTGAGTCCATATTTGCGTGTCCAAGGTCCATAAGACTACGTCTCACCATCCTTGTCGCTAGGGAGCATTTTGACTATACTTATTCCAAGACAGATGTGTTTGCTGTTTAGGCCGCCCCTGGGACTTTCTGTATTCTTCTCCAGCACTAAAAGTATATACAGTGTGAAATAAATGCTTACTCCAGACCCCCAGTTTCTTGTCTCCTCAACGTCAACTATAATCAGTTTCCTGAGTGTCCCGATAGAAATATTCCGTGCACACGCCCGTAACCTTTTCTACGCAGCAGGTGCAAGGAGCCCAGGGGTGCAATGCAAAGTGCTTGACCACACCAGCATGCATGGAAGAACAGACCTGGAATCCGCTTCCAGAAAGATGTTTACAAACGAACTCCAAACTCACCATCACTGCATCAATTCCTATAGAACAGAGTAGAAACTACCCCGTAGAGGCTGTGGGTTCAAATCACCGACCTTGCAGTTAACAGCATAATGCATCGTCCACTATGCCACCAGAGCTCCAAGATTACAGCCTTGAAAAATGTCCGAGGCAGTCGCACTTTGCCCTGTGGTCTCGCTGCGAGTTGACATCACCTTGATGGAGCACGTAACGGCAGCACCCCGATACAGTAGTTTGTACCTTATTTTTCTTTTATGCTACAGTACAAGGAAAACACTTTAGAAAATCTAGTGCTATAATTAAAAAAAAATTTTTTTCCCTCTCTGTCTCTCTATTCTTACATCAGAGAAAATTTCCCAGGTTTAGAGCCATGTTCAGCAACCTGATCCATTATCCAAGATATTCCCTGTACTGGGCCAAGTCAGATCCAGTCCCTGCATTCATCAGTCGGGAGTGGAGAGGATTTGATGAGCAACACAAAGGAGTTCTCCGCCAGTTTGCAGCGTGAGTGTCAGATGGCTCCTAAGACTGCTTTTCTTTAAAAACAATCAAACAAACTAAAACTTTAAAGTTTATTCTGCATGATTTAAAACTCTGTAATTAGGAGGTTATATATAGACCAGTGGACCCCACATTCTTGCTTGAAGCCCATTGGGGCAAAATGAGCCTGGTTCAGGGAAAATAATTGTAAGTTTACTGGTTAGTAAATGTTCTTAGAAGGTCAGAGTGACTATGCACACCTAGCCCTCATTTATCTGTTAGCTTATTATTGAGCAGTTCTTATTTACGACAACAGTAAACAATGTAAACGCTGTCTATTCTTTCTTACCACTTGTTTAGCAGTTTGTCCTACCAGGGTGTCTTGTGTGTTGCTGTGATGTTGGAAGCTATGTGCTCCCAATGCCAGCAGGGTTGCCCAAAGTGCACAGGTTTCAGCAGAGTGTCCAGACTGAGAACAAACCATGAAGAAGGGCCAGGTTGTGAACTTCTGAGGAGGTCGCCGCTGAAAACCTTCCGACGGAATGGAACCCCTGTGCGATCTTGAAAGCCTCACGGAAAGAAGCGACCAGCGTTGAAGCGCGAGCCTAGGGAGGGGCCCCGCGGGTCAGCATTCACAATAGGACCGAGGAGGAGCTGCTGTCTCAAAGTACAGTCCACTGTGGTGACGGGAATGAAGTAAAACCTGTGAGATTCATGCCTCAGGACCTTCATTTGCCCATGGGGTACGACTCAAAATGAAAGGAAACAGCCACAAACATTAATTAATCATTAGAACTTGAAATGTACAAAGTATGAATCTAAGACGATTGGAAATGGTCCAAAATAAAACGGAACACAGAAAAAGGGACATTCTAGGCATTCGCGAGCTGAAATGGACTGGTATTGGCCATTTGAGTCAGAAAGCCAAAAGGTTAAGATACAGGAATGACCCGGTCAAGAGGAATGGCTTTGTATTCATCGTCAAAAAGGACAGTTCAACATCTAACTTGAACTACAATGCTATCTGTGGTAGGATTGTATCTATCCCCATCCCAGCAGAAAATAACAGAACGATGTTGACTTGGGCTTTATTGACTATGCAAAGGCGTTCAATGTGTGTGCTGCCTTTGTTATATCTGTTAGTTGGTGTCTGCCCTGCAATAGGGCCCTTAGGTTTGCCCTGGTTTTCTTGTTGATGATCCTGATAGCTTTGGGGTTTGCATTGGGTCTCGAATCCAGCTTGGGCTCATTTTTTGTTCATGGGTGAGGTATGGGTCCTGCTGCATTCCTCTTCAGATGGATATGGTTTTTCCAGCACCATCTGTTCAAGAGGGCACCTCCTTCCCATTGAATGTTCCTTGGACCTTTGTCAAAATCAGTTTTTTTACAACTACGTTGACAGAGGAGACGTTACTTCAACCGGGATCAGATTTTCAAGATTGGGGGAACGGAAGATGACTACACAGTTGCTGCCATACAAAAATGTGCTAAGTTCACCCCAGACCAACAGACATTCCTACCAGCTTGGAAAATCAAGGCAAGACTTGGGGAGGGGAGCATACCTGTCTTAGAGAAGCCAAGTGCCTTTCTGTTGGTAGAAAACTGGAGAGGACCGACCTCCCATTGACCAACAGTATCTAGCTGGACCCCAAAGGGAGAAGATGCTCCTGATCAGACTCATTGGACTGAGTTTCTGTACAGTCCCTGACCACCCAGTCCATGCACCATACTGTGATATTAGACCCTGTGTTTTTGAGACACACAACCTATTCCAGAGGGACTTATTTGATGCGGAAACCTCACTAGGTGACCTGGGCTCTACCTCAAATGCACCTGTAGCCTGAGGACTTAAGGCTGAAACTACAAAGTGTGTGAAGAGGCAGAAGACAGCGATACCAAGATTATTGAACTGTTGGTAGGTGGACTACCATATATTTATGACTTTAATGCACGACTTGCTTTATTAAGATCTATATTAATCCAGTCTGCCACTGTCATTGAATAGTGTATGTTTTGCCTGGCCACCAACTCCCATTTTTTGTGTCAAAGGTGTCGTCACTTAACGATTTAATCTGTACAAGTCAATAATCCATGTATTATGATTTGTAGCCAACTCATACCTATTTAATCTCCTTTTCTCGATTGTGTTTCAAATGCATTAACATGGGCTAAATTCAATCAATGACACTATAAACAGAAAGATCCTATGCACCAGGGGGATGATTGATAAGGTGATCTAACATTAAATAAAAAAGATGTCTCTAAAATGAATCAGAAAACATAGATTTAGGAATGCATTTTGGACTTGTACTTAATCCTAGCTCAAATCTAAGAAAATTAGTTCTTATGATATGGCTTGCTTGATACTCGCCCTCATGAAGAGATCACAGAAGTTATAGGTGCTTCCTCAAAGTGTAGTGAAGAAACGAGATGGTGTCAAACTGCTGACCTTTCACCATGGGTAACGAAGTTTCCTGTTTGTTTAAGCCATCTTAGAAATTGCAAATACACTTTTCTGCTGGTATTCAAATATAATTTTTGGAGACGTGCAACTCAAATGCCTTCAGGCCCAAGTCTTTTGAATTCCATATTCTTGTAATTATTTACAATTAAATTGAAAAAATCTGCTGCCTCCTCTCAGCTGGGTCATGAAATGATCTTTCAAAGCATGTTTTCCTGCTTTACTAATTAGAAGTGGGCATTTTGCGTGTGGGCGTGGTGAGAGTATTCAGCCACTAACTGAGAGGTCGTTAGTTTTCAGCCACCAGCTGCTCTGCTGGAGAAAGGGATGGCAGTCCTGGCAAAGTCAGTGACGGGAGATTTGATTTGTGCGTGTGGTTTAACTCTTGTCTCCACCGTTACCTCCTCCTCTTAGCTCCTGGCTTCCAGGCTCAGGGAAAGTGAGCCTCGCTAGTCTAAGATGCAGGGCGTCAATGCATATGCTCCCAGTATGCGATAGTCGGTGTCCCTCCTACTTGATAGACATAGAAATAATAAGTAGAACTTACATGTGGAAATGGTATCTTAGACTCAAATAATGTTTTCCTGCTTCATTTTAGATCCCACCCTTCTTTTCAGACGCCCAAAGAAGTTTATGAAGATCCTGAAGTTACTGGAAGGAATCGCTTCAAATACTTTGAAAGGTAAAAAGTAATTACGAATGGGCATGCATCCAGGTCTTATTAGGGACTTTTTTTTTTTTTAACCACCAAAATAGCAGCTATCATTCTGTAAGTGCGGGCAGTGTGCCGGCTCCATTGTAAGTGCCTTACATACATATCATCTCATTGTCACTACAGAAATAAATAGGACTGGCTATTTTATTCTCGGTCTACCAGTCAGGAAGCTGAGCCTTGGAGAGATGTAGATTGCTCAGTCACACAGAGCTAGGAGTTCCCCTGGGCCTCTCTGACTTCAGGTATTGATTGCGCAGAAGACTGTCTATTTGGGAACAAAATGAAGTCATCAAATGGAGGGGAACAGCAGTCAGCATGCAGGGAAAACTCTTCAAAGTGGCAAAGTGTTTCCTTCTTATGAATGTTGTCAAAGCCAACACAGCCAAAGGATTCGCTTTGTTTCATTTGTTTCACACAGTACTTGTGTGATAACCATGTACTCTGTTCCAATGCACAGAAGATGACATTTTTTCTGTGGATCTTACTAGAGTTAGAAAACTACCCTTGATACTACGTATCAGGTACACATGCTTCCTTGGGAAAGTACATTGATAATTGACATTTATTTGTAATCAAGCTTCTTCTAGATATATTGTGATTTCTTCTTCTTCTTCTTCTTCTTCTTCTTCTTCTTCTTCTTCTTCTTCTTCTTCTTCTTCTTCTTTTTGAGAGCAATGTTAAAGTCTGAACAGCACTCTCCTCAGTTCCTAGACTCTTTGGGGAGAAGCTTTCCATGACGATCACTGAGAATCTCAATATTTGTAGGTGCTTGAGAAGTCGCTGGGAGCAAATGGCTAGCTGCAGTCTAGGAGAGGATGCTGTTCTCTGAGTGTCGCCACTTACAATATTAGAATGTTGATTTAAAATGCAGATATTTTGGCTTTGCCTTCTATCTACTTAATTGTCTGGGCCAGATCTTGGACTTTGTATTTTAAACAAGCCCCTCCTCAGTCTCCCCCTGAATGGTTCAGTGTATGCTAAAGTTAGAGGGTCACTGCTACCTACATGGGATAGTCAAGCTCATGGATTGTAAGAGACGAATAATAAGGACTGAAAGATACTTACTTCAGAGTGTATCCAATGCAATCGTCCCATGACTCTCCTCTCCTTTCCCTCCACAGGCCTTTTCTTCCATATTTTAAACAGATGCCGCTCAATGTTATTTTTTCAGTAACTAAGTAAGTAACCATTATTAATTTTTCCCATTTATTTTGTTCATTTCCATAGTTGATTCCAGAAGATAGCTATCTAAACCATTATTTTTAAAATTATGGATCATAAAACATAAGATTATGAAATTTTCTTGAGGGTCATAAGCAGCGTTCTAAAAAATGAAGTAGAATACGATAGAACCCAAAGCATCAGATGTAGTCTGGGTACATTGGTCTTTTTGTTTGTAACTTTTGTCTCAGGTAGATCTAGTAATAGATCATGGATTATGATATAAAATATATCACTATGAGTTGTGATAAGAAAAGTTGAAAACTGACTTAACTAGTCTCTCTTGCTTCTCTGAAAAATAAACTTGCTATTTGACTACAGTTCTTCAATATTTCATCAACAAAAGTAATCAGTTATGAAATATTATTTGAATGTTACTCAAGGCAATGTGAGGTACTTAATTATGTTGCCTAACAAAGGAGTAAACCTAGATTTGAAAGAGATAATGGCCATGGGTGGAATCTGGGAGAAATGTGCAATCGCCCAACCTTTAGTTCAGGGCAAAGTAACATGTTAGCTAGAGGAGCCCTTTAAAAATGGAAGAGACGAGCCAGTCTGGGTGCAGTACAGTGCCAATGAAACATACAACTTTCCTCTAGTTCTTCAGTGCTTATACACACACACACACACACACACACACACACACACACCTCCCCCCCACTATCATGACCCCAATTCTACCTTACAGCTAGACCAGAGGATGTATGCTGGTGCAGATAAGAACTCGCAACACGGGGAATCCAGGACAGATAAACCCCCCAGGACCAATAATGAGAGTAGCGATATCAGGAGGGTAGGGGGAAGGTGGAGGGAGAAAAGGGAAAGCGGTCACAATGATCCAACATGTAAACCCCTCCCAGGGGGATGGACAACAGAAAAGTGGATGAAGGGAGACAGAGGTCAGTGTATGACGTGAAAAAAATAATAGTTTATGACTTATCAAGGGTTCAAGAGGGAGGGAGGAAAGGAAAGGGTGGGGAAAATGAGCTCATACCAAGGGCTCAAATAGAAAGAAAATGTTTTGAAAATGATGATGGCAACATATGTACAAATGTGCTTGACACAATGGATGCATGTTGTAAGAGATGTAAGAGCCCCTAATAAAATGATTAAAATAATAATAAAATAAAGTAAAAATGGAATTTTTGCTGTACTCTTTCCTCTGGTAATTTAACTTAGTACTCAGAGGCAGAAATGAAATTGTAAAGTATTCAGGAAAATGATTAGGAAATTAAAGCTTATATATTTTGGAATACATTTCTGAATAGAAAAAAATAGAAATTTATTTAAAACTGGGTTTTTCAGCAGGCATTCAGCATCTAGTTATTTCTAATTTGATAAATAGATGATTGATAGATAGATACTGGAGAAATGTGTGGCATCATCTGTGGTCAAGCAGAGGTCAGCAAAAAGACCCTCTCTGAGACGGATTGACACTGTGGCTGTGAGAATGGCTTCACTCAAGCAAAGCAAAGATTGTGAGGATTGTGCAGGCAATATTTCTTTCTATTTGCATAGGTTTCCTGCATAGTCTCATTCTCATGTAAATAGTTTTCCTTGCAGTTTATTTTTGTGCAAGAGACAAAGTCACTTTCTATGCAGTTAACCAAGTGACCCTAGAGTTAATTTTTGAGTCATCTAACTAGAAAGAGGCTTAAAAAAAAAAAGGAAACATATTTTCTTGTCTCTGTTCCTATGTTTCAGGAGGGGGGCAGCTAAAACCGTATATATCATGGAAAGCCAGAAGAAACCAGAACCTAGCAATTCTGACAGGATCAGGAATACTATATGATATTCTAGAATCCACCTTTTACAGCTCTGTACTCACTCTAACCCTGCCCAAAGATGCAGATATAAATAGGCTCTTTTATGAATAGAAAGGGTTTTTGGGTAGGTTTTGGTTTTTTTCTCCCAGTATCTTGAAAGACGCAAAATTAACAAGACAAGTCTCTAAAGATTATTGGGCACAAGGCGGGTTTCAATGGATGTATAACTTTATGAATGCCAGTGGACTCAGTGAAGGTCAAGAACCTATTTCTATTCCTTTACATAATATCCTAAGTAATCTTATCAAGTTTTGATTTTGAAAATAATGTCCCCCTTTTAGGACAGACCCATTTTCTTTTGCTCCTCCCTCTACTAAGTACCCACCTGTCCATTCCAAACATACTGTGGCCACTCAGACTGATTATCGGGATGCTGACGTTCAAACAGATCCATATTCGCCAGAGTATGTAGTCTGTCAAGACTCCATCCCTGAGCTCCTGACTCTGGCAAGTCTTACTTGGGGTAAGTTGATAATTCTTGTTACTATTTGTAGGTGATAGTACTGATAACCATACATGCTACTGAGTTCCTGGAAATGACACTCAGATAGTTGTATATGGAAATGACACACAGATAGTTGTATATAGAAATGACTATCTATAGTCAACTGGGGTTTAAAGTGTCTTGCTCAATGGATTTACTTAGATTCATACTTTGTCTGCTACTTCCCTTCAAAGAAAGATACCTTATTTTGTGTGTAGGTTTACGGCGCTGTATCCTTTATGCCAAAGTTATGTTTCAGCCTTCCCTCCAGAGAATTAACTCCTTTTCATCCAGCAATCCATACTCCTTTACACATTGATTTTTTTAGTGTGATATTGAATGTGCATTCATATGCGTATATGTAATCATTATATATTGCTTGATAAAGTATATGACAGATTATGAAAACCCTCATATACTTTATTTAACTTCAGTCTTAAAAAGGTCATATCATGTTGGCAGTAGTATATTTATATACAGATGTATTTTCGCATGTTTAAATTCAATTCTGACAATTCATTGTGCTACTGGTACTTTATTGGTTGTGGAGGAAGAACTGTCTTAAAAGAGAAACCATGTATTTAAAATTCATAGCCCAGGATGCCACTATTCTTTTTAGTTAAGATGCTTTCTGATAAGGGTATTCCTAATATATAATAATTGCTTTTGAATGTTAAGTATTATTAATAAAATTAGAAATATTTTTAGACTTTTAAAATATGGAACTCTCATTGTTCAAAAATTTGAGTTCTTACAGCCTCTTTACTTATTGACTCAAGTGAACAGCAAGCTAAAAAGCAGCTGGTGTCTAAGTTACCTGTAAGGGACTGGAAATAGGAAGAAGCAAGGAAAATCACTGTCAAGTTGGACATTTGGAATGACACGTAGGAGGAAATGAGAGGCAACCATGTGCATTTCCGTTAAATGTTCTTGATACCCTAGTTTGTGCTAACCTGTTCGTATTGTTTGCTTTGGGTGGTATCTTGAGTATTCAGAAAAGTGTCTAGTCCTTTTCTGATCACTGAATTGAATAAGGCAGTGAGACTTATCCAGGACACGTAGTTAGCCAGACCTAGCACAGACACTAGCGTCCCTGCTTCCCAGGGATGGGCCAGTGGCCCGTGCATCTCTGAGCAAACTTTATCCCAAATCAGCTACCTAACTTTTAGACCTCAAGTTTCTAATAATAGCTTACTTAGGCATATTTTCGAAAGAAGAGTTGCATAGTGTGTTTTTCCTTGGGTAACAACACCTCGTAACCGACAAAGCTTATTTGCCTAATCACTCTCACTTTGTAGGAACTCTGGTGGTGTAGTAGGCTATGTGTTGGGTTGCTGATCACAAGGGCAGCAGTTCAAAACTATGAGCCTCTCAGTGAGAGAAAGATGAGGCTTTCTATCCCTACAAAGATGTGCAGTCACAGAAACTCACATGGGTTGATTCTACTTTGTCTGTAGGGTCACCATGTATCAGCACTGACTTGATGGCACTGAGTTTGCATCCAGTAATGGGTGAAAATCAAAGTTCATGTGCGCTTCAGCTTTAAGTTTTTACAATATAAGGTTTTGTTATAATGAAAACTAAGCACAAGCCAAAACTCACTGCCAGTCAGTTGATTCCAACTCACAGAGACCCTATAGGACAGGGTAGAACTGTCCCTGTGGGTTTCCGAGACTGTAACTCTTCCCAGGAGTACAGAGCTTCATCTTTCCCCCTCGGAGAGTCTGGTGATTTCAAATTGCTGACCTTGTGGTTAGCAGTGCAATGTGTAACCCACTAGGACCCCAGGTCTCCCTTGCTATAGTGGAGCAATCTTCTAATATCACAACAATTGACAGGTAGGGACAAGATAAATTCAAAGGTGAGTTGACACCAGCTTTCTGCGTTAAAGTTTATTTATGCCATCTATTCTCTAGGTCTGTATACGTCTCAGTAGACTAGATATTAATAGATACAGTTTGAAGCTTTTCTTTGTGGTAGTTTAATGAGTAGTTAAAATATTCCATGGTATTATCTCTTCTCTCACCTAGCACTTACATAACTCTGAAATATGTAATGTAGTTTGTCTATGTTAGTTGACCTGGAAAATTAAAATTTTATACCTCATTTTGTCATGTGAAAATTTTAATGCCAGAATTGATTGATCATATTCTGCAGAAATGCAAAAGTATTACAGAATTAGAAGCATTTTTCAGTAGATCAAAATTACATCCTAGAATTAACAGAGATAATACATCTCAGAATTAACACAGAACAATATTACATATAATTGATTGCTCAGATAGTCTCTCTTTATCAATTATATAATCTCTACAGAGAATGAGTTAGAAGAGTTTGCTTAAATGTTAGCTTCCTTAACAAGTAGGGACCATATTTGTTAAATGTTGTTGAGTTGGTTCCAATCACAATGAGCCTATGTACATTTCTCAAGCTCCTCATTTCCATCTGCCATTTTTTTGTCCCAGAAAGATGATGTAATAAATCAAGGCTATATTTACAGGTACTAGCCACCAGAACCACCCTTGTCTGTCCATGTGACCTACTATGGTGGTTTGTATCTTGCTCTGATGTGGGCAGCTATGTCCCTGGTATTTCAAATACCAGCAGGGTCACCCAAAGTGAACAGGTTTTAACGGAGCATCCAGACTAAGAATAGACTACAAAGAAAGAATAGGCTGTCCACTTCTGAGGAATTAGCCCCTGAAAACCTCATGAATAGCAGTGAAATACTGTCAGACAGAGTGCTGGAAGATGAGCCCCACAGGTCGGAAGGTACTCCAAATCTGATTGAGGAAGAGCTACCTTCTCAAAGTAGAGTCACCATAATGACATAGATGGGGTAAAGTTTGGGGGACCTTCATTTGCTGATGTCACATGACTGGAAAACTGAGAACAAACAGCTGTAAACAAGTATTAATAATTGGAACTTGGAATGTATGAAGTATGAATCTAGTAGGATTATAAGTCATCCAAAACAAAATAGAAAGATTAAAGATCTATATACTCAGTATTACTGAGCTGAAGGAAGAACCCTAATGGTAGGACAAACACTGATGGCATAGTCCTTACACACATTGGGCTATGATCTGCAAGGTCAGCAGTTCAAAACCATGAGTTCTAATTCACCAGTTTTCACATGGGAGAAAGATGGAGCTTTCTACTCCAGTAAATAGCTAAAGTCTCAGAAACTCATGAGGGCCATTCTACCCTGTACCAGGCATTCATATACCTGTAATGACAAATGGAATTCAAGAGGAATATTGTTGGATTCATCATCAAAAAGGTCATTTCAAGATGTAGATTGAAGTACAATAGAGTCTGTGATAGGATAACAGCTATCAGCATGCAAGGAAATTCTTCAATACAACTATTACTGGAATTTCTGCACCAACCGCTAAAACTATTGATGAGGAAATTGAAGAATTCTACCAATGTCTTCAGTTGGAAATTGATCAAACATGCAATCAAGGTGCATTGATAATTATTGGAATATGAAAGTTGAAAACAAAGAGGAAAGGACAGTAGCTGGAAATTATGGCCTCGGTGATAGAACTGAAGCTGGGGATCACATGATAGAATTTTGCAAGACCAATGACTTCTATGTCTAAATACCTTTTTTTCAACAACATAAAGGGAGACAGGACATATGGACTTCTTCAGATGAAATACGCAGAAATCAAATCAACTACATCTAGGGGAAGAGACAGGGAGAAGGTCAGTATGAGAAGCTAAAACAGGCCGGAGGTCAGCTGTTGAACAGACTATCAATTGCTCATATGTGAGTTCAACTTAGGGGGCCCTGATAGCATACATCAAGGCCAGCAGGTGGAAACCATCAGTTCCACAAGAGAAAGATGGAACTTTCTACTCCCTTAAAGATTTACAGTCTAGGAAATCAAAAGGGGGTGTGGTCTGGTCCATCCGATAGAGTCGCTGTGAGTCAGAATCCACTTGATGGAAGTGAATTTTGAGTTTTTGGAGTTCAAGTTGAAGCTAAATAAAATTAAAACAAGCTCATGAGATGTAACAAGGCAAGATATAACCTTGAGTATATCCCACCTGAATTTTGAGACCTCAAAAATAGAATCGATTCATTGACTGCTAATGACAGAAGACCTGATGAACTGTGAGATGACATCAAGAACCTTATAAATGAAGAAAGAAAAAGGTCATTAAAAAGACCGGCAAAGAAGAAAAGATAATAGTGGATGTCAGAAAACACTCCGAAACTTACTTTTGATCATTGAGTTAGTCCAGGTTGACTAGAGAAACAAGTTCATAGACACTCATATGTGTTTAAGAAAGCTTTATATATAAGAGCAATTGAATATTGAGAAAACATCCCAGACCAGTTCAGATTAAGTCCATAAGTCCGATATTAGCCCGTATGTCTGATACCAATCTATAAATTCCTCTTTGGACTCACGAAACACAGGCAATGACACCAAATGCAGGAAGATCACAGGCCAGTGGGTGAAAAGTCTTGTTGATCCAGTGGCGGGAGAAGCATCTCGGCATTGTCTTGCAGGGTGTAAGTGTATTTGGCCTCCAGTGAGCTATTTATCTCCGTGGCGCCTCCAAATGAGGTCATCATGCTGCAACCTGATTCACAGGCTAGACTCCACCCCTTCACAAGTCAATACTAGATTATGTAACTACCACAATCATAAATTGGTTAAAGTAAATGCAAGAATTAAAAACATAAAAGCTGAACAGAATCGGGGCGGGGAGGGAGGGGGAAAATGAGGAGCTGCTACCAAGGGCTCGAATAGAAAGCAAATGTTTTGAGAATGATGAGGGCAACAAATGTACAAATGTGCCTGACACGATGTATGTATGGATTGTGATCAGAGTTGTACGAGCCCCCTATAAAATGATTTTTTTTAAAAGGCTGAACAGCATATTTCAAAGGGCAAACCAAGAAGACAAGGTAAAGTATTATAATGAAATGTGCAAAGACCTGGAGTTGGGAAATCAAAAAGCTGAAAGAACTGAAGAAAAAAATTCAAGTCTCAAGTTTATTAAAATATTCTATGGACAAAATATTGAACCATGCCAAGAAGCATCAAAAGAATTTGGAAAAGATACCTAGTCACTGGACCAAAAAGAAATAGTCACATTCAACCATTTCAAGTATAAGGTCAAGAACTGGTGATGCTGAAAAAGTCCAAGCTGCATTAAACACATTAGTGATAAACAAGGCTACAAGAATCAACAGAATACCAATTGAAATGTTTCAACACATTGATGGAGCACTGGAAGCACTTACTAGTTTATGCCAAGAAATTTGAAAGACTAGGGAGATCCATGTTTGTACCCATTTCAAAGAAATGCGATCCAAAAGAATGTAAAAGTTATCAAGTAATATTATTAATATCACATGCAAGTAAAATTTTGCTGAAGATCATGCAACAACAGTTCCAACAATACATTACAGGGAGCTGCCAGAAATTCAAGGCACATTCAGAAGAGGATGTGGAACACGGATTGTCATCGACACCATAGCTGAAAGAAGAGAATACCAGAAAGATATTTTACCTGTGTTTTATTGACTTTGCAAAGGCATAGAACTGTGTGGATCATAGCAAACCACATACAGCACTGAGAAGAATGGGAATTCCAGAACACTTCATTGTGTTCATGTGGAACGTGGACATGGGTCAAGAGACAATCATTTGAACAGAACAATGGCATACTGTTGTTGTAGGTACTGTAGACTCAGGTCCGATTCATAGTAATCCTATGTACAACAGAAGGAAACACCACCCTATCCTGCACCATCCTCACAATTATTATTATGTTTGGGCTCATTGTTGCCACCACTGCCGATCCATCTTGTTGAGAGTCTTACTCTTTTTTTCTATCTTTACCAAGCATGATGTTCTTTTCTAGACCTTGGTCTCACCTGGTAACACATTCAAAGTATGTGAGATAAAGTCTCACCTTTCTTACTTTTAAGAAGCATTCTAGCTGTACTTCTTCCACAAGAGATTTGTTTGTTTCATTGGCAGTCCATGGTATTTCCAATATTATTTGCCAGCACAATAATTCAGAGGCATTGGTTCTTGTTTGGTCTTGCTTATTCATTGTTCAACTGTCATATGCATATGAGGTGATTGAAAATACCATGGCTTGGGTCAGGTACACCTTAGTCCTCAAGGTGTAATCCTTGCTTTTCAACACTGTAAAAAGGTTTGTGCAGTAGATTTACCCAACACAAAGCATCATTTGATCTCTTGATTGCTGCTAAACCTTGCTTGCTAAAAGCAAGGAGGACTTGAAGCACTTGCTAATGAAGATCAAGGATTGTAGCCTTCACTGTGGATTATAAGTCAATGTAAAGAAAGCCAAAATATGTCATCTACATCTCTCAGGTTGTTGATAAGCCTTCCTCCAATCTGTCTTTATATAATCCAGCTTTTCTTTTTTTTTTGCACAGCATACAGCTTGAATAAGTCTGGAGAGGATAAAACCCTGACGCACACCTTTCTTGATTTAAAACTGTGCAATAGTCCCTTGTTTCTGTTGGCACAATTCTCTCTTGATCCATTTATGGTTTCTGGAACTCCCATTCTTCTCAAGGTTATCCATAGTCTGTTATGAGCCACATGTAGATAGAATGCCTTTGCCTAGTCAATAAACACAAGCAAACCTCTTTCTGGAATTTTCTGTTTTGAGCCAAGATCCATCTGACATCAGGAATATTATCCCTTGTTCCTCATATGCATGTGAAAATTAGACATTGCATAAGAAAGACCAAAGAAGAATCGATGCATTTGAATTACATCGCTAGCAAAGAATATTGAAAGCACCACAGACTTCCAGAAGAGCAAACAAGTCTGTCTTGAAAAAAAGCCTAATCCCTAGCCAAGGACATCATGCTTGGTAAGGGAAGACCTTCAATGAACTGGATTGACATAGTGGCTGCAACAATGGGTTTAAACTTAACAACCATTGTGAGGATGATGCACGATCCAACAGTGTGTCACTCTGTTGTACATAGCATTATAATGAGTCTGAACTGTCTTGATGGCACTTGAAAACAATAGCCACTAGAGTGTGAGGGTCCCTAAATTTTTGCCAGGGAGGTATAAATAGAGTTTAGTGTCAGTCAGGGTCTGTGTACTTTCAGGATGCATAGCTAAGATCTCTCTTCATCAGGACGTCTTTATGTATTTCAGTTCTTAAAGTTGGAGATGAGTGATAGCCCTGAATTGTATATTTATTGTGGGGGACAAAACACAAATATGGTGAATTTCCAGCTGTAGATTAGTTCAGCGGTTCTCAGCCTGTGGGTCGGGACCCCTTAGGGGTTCAAATGACCTTTTCACAGGGTCGCCCGATTCATAACAGTAGCAATGAAAAGAATTTTATGGTTGGGGCTCACCACAACATGAGGAACTGTTTTAAAGGATCATGGCATTAGAAAGGTTGAGATCCACGGATTAGTTTTTCATTGTGTTTGAAAATATTTTTTAAAAATTGACCAACAAATTCCCTCTACCTCATCATCTCGAGATTTTCCTACTTAAGAACTTTTATATTTCTTTACATATTATAATATAGATTTGTCTAATAACGAGTCCTCTAGTAGTATCCCAATATTCTTCAAGCATCATAGGTGGAACTAAAATATCTTTTTGTCTGCATTAAGAAGAATCAATAAAAGGTACAAGTGAGTACCACCTGTGAGGCATATCTGGAGGAAATTTCTTAATATTATTACTCTATCCTGTCATATCCTTTAAATTCCCATCTATGCCATCAGGTGGTGTCCATGGGTATAGTCACTGTTTATGCTGTTGACTCGATGGCACCCATCAGCAACCTTGGGTTTAGAGGAAAGGAACTAGAGGCAGGTCATTTATGTGTTAGTTGGTATATGAGTTTACCCACTTCTTTCTAAAGTGTTCTCCGGCTTCATCCTCCAGGTCGGGGTCTCCCAGCTGGACAAGCTGAGGTGGAGATGATAGAAAGGGCCCGAGAGAAGCGCATTTGGGAAGCCACCCTTCCATCTCTGAATGACACGACCCAGCTTGAGAAGAGGAGGAAGATGATGAATGCAATGGAGAGGAAGGAGTGGGCTTTCAGGGAGCAGGAGATTCAAAAGTAGGTTCACCATCACTCAGCAACTATTCTAGCACTGAGGAGAGTGATGTCAATACTCTTAGCTACAATACACATACTTTTCCAAATGTCTGGGTTTTAAAGCAATCCTCAAATTGTTGCAGTGGGAAATTGGGTTTCTGGGTCTTTGGGGAGTAACTGCACACTCCTGGTGTGGTATAATAGCTCTCTATAGCTCTCTCTTCAATTACATAAATGTATAATGTCCTTTCGGTGTGGGAAGACATTCACCAGGAAATCCAGATTTAAACAATTCCCTTGAGTGGATCTCATTTTCTTTTTCCCCCTTTCATATCTGTCTGGAATGTCTCTGAATCCCACTGATTTCCATAGGGACATCTTTCAGACTGTTCCTTCCTATTCATTCCCAGTGCCACTGTCCTAAGTCTGTCCTTCTTCCTTTGCTCCCCAAACCTCCTGAGCTGCTCTCTGGGTTCATAGTTAGGACACTTTGGGTTCTTTCTATAGCTGATGGTATATTTCTGTTGCAAAGATAAATTATATACCCTATATACGCGAGTATAAGCTGACCCAAATATCAGCCGAGGCATCTAATTTTACCACAAAAACTGCATAAAAATGTGCTGAATCACTGAACACAAAGTGGGTGCATAAGCAAATGTGGTGAAGAAAGCTGATGGTGCATGGCTATCAAAAGATATAGCGTCTGAGGTCTTAAAGGCTTGAAGGTAAACAAGCGGCCATCTAGCTGAGAAGCAACAAAGCCCTCATGGAAGAAGCTAAACCAGCCTGTGATCACAAGGTGTTGAAGGGATCAGTTATCAGGCATCAAAGAACAAAAAATCATATCATTGTGAATAAGGGGAGTGCAGAGTGGGGACCCAAAGCCCATCTGTAGACAAGTGGACACCCCCTTACTGAAGGGTTGCAGGAAGGAGACAAGCTGTCAGGGTGCAGTATAGCAATGATGAAACATACAACTTTCCTCTAGTTCTTTAATACTAACCCCCACCCCCCGCCCATTATCATGATCCCAATTCTACCTTACAAATATGGTTTGACCAGAGGATGTACACTGGTACAGATAAGAACTGGAGATACAGGGAATCCAGGACAGATAAACCCCTCAGGACCAATAATGAGAGTAGCAATACCAGGAAGGTAAGGGGAAGGTGGGGTAGAAAGCGGGGACCAATCACAAGAATCTACATATAACCTCTTCCCTGGGGGACGGAAAACAGAAAAGTGGGTGAAGGGAGATGTCAGACTGTGTAAGACATGACAAAATAGTAATAATTTATAAATTATCAAGGGTTTGGGAGGGAAGGGGTCGGGGAGGGAGGGGAAAATGAGGAGCTGATACCAAGGGCTCAAGTAGAAAGAAAATGTTTTGAGAATGATGAGGGCAACAAATGTACAAATGTGCTTGACACAATGGATGGATGGATGGATTGTGATAAGAGTTGTACGAGCCCCACCCCAAATGATTTTTAATATAAAATAAATAAATAAAGTGTTGAAATCAAGGGGGGAAACGTGCTGAAAAGCTCGGCTTATCCACGAGTATATACGGTACTCCTTCAATTAAGAGGTGAACTCACAGTCCGTAAATCACAATCTGTTTTAAGTACATCTGGCTGCATTTCAACTGATAACACTTCCAGTAATGAGGTTGTCGCTGGAAGGGTATGTACAAATGGCCAGAAGTAAACATTTTAACACCTGGAGCAAGAGAAAAAAGGAAAGGAACTTGTCAAGATTGTCCTCTGTTCCAGGTCCGCTGAGACATTTACTGTTAGTCACAGCATTACCAAGGCCCCCTGATGGTAAGACAGACATCTGAGAGTTAGGGACTCCACTTGGTTCTAAATTTTAAGACGTTTCTTTCTTTAATTTTTTTTACAACACCCAACTTATTCTGCATCCAAACTCTGTGACATCTTGGAACAGTTTGCAATCCACTAGAAAATAGTGTTTGGGGCAAAATAGTGTTTCTGCAGGAAGGTAACTAGCTGTCTTCTCAGAAGAACAATACAAACAGTAAAAGTGTAGCTAGCAGCTGCTGGGGGCACCATCTGAGAAAATGAGTCCTTTTATTAAGGTGAGAATAATTTTAATGAACCTATTTTGCATCCCTCCTGTTGGGTGGGTTCTATGCTATGAACCGAGGAAACGGATGAACAGTAAATGACCTGTGCCCTGCCGGAGCTCCTTATAGCCCCCAGGGCTGGAGCCTGGAGGACAGCAGAACACTGTCTTGAGGGATGGCTACAGGAAGGGCTAGGGAAATTCAGGCAAGAGAATGATTAGTTTGGGGTGTGGAAGGTGGAGTTTGGGGTAAATTACTAAGAGGGAGTCGCTTAGGGCTGGCAGTTGCAGGGTAAGAAGCCATCTATAGGCCATATCATCAGTGATGATGATATGTTTAGAGCATGTCATACACTGAGACTGGTTAGTTTGAACCGGACAGTGTTCTCCAAGTGTGGTCCCCGACCAGCAGCACACTGTCACCTGACAACTTGTTAGAGGTACCAATTCTCAGGCCCCCACCCCGCACCTGCTGAATCAAAGGGTGGGACCCAGTAATCGGTGTTGTAGTCCACCCTCTAGAATCTTCTGATGCACGCTCAAATTTGAGAAGGGCTCTTCCAGCACTTTGTATCCACTGACTCATTTAATGGTCATAATAATCTTAGAGGTATAAACCGCCCTCATTTCACTTTGACAGTTCAAGCTGAGGTGAGTGGTCATGAAGCTTGGCATTCTAACAGTTGAGAGAAGGGTGAACGATGGTGTGTGACTGACTGTGAGAAGTGCCAGCCTCTTGTACCCCACTGTCACTGTTCTCCTAGCCTCCAACGTGCATTCCCTGAGAAACTCTCCAATGGGACATGTTTGCTCTGTCTCCAGTCTTTTCCTGTTGGCCGTTTCTTCTCCTCCAACAAGACCTTGCTTCTCCCTTGTCAGTGTGGCAAATCTCAACCCTTGCTTGTCCTCAAGACTCCTGCGATTCGGCTTCTCTGAGCCCCGCCCCTTCCGGCACGGTGGGCAGGGCACAACTTAACTGATCCCTATTTCCTTTTCCCACCCAAGTCTTTTCCTCCTTCCCGCCTGCCATTTCGGTCTGGTGTGGTAAATGGTGGCTTACATGCCTACTGCACTCCAGCAGTGCTTCTTGAGAGAAAGCATTTTGTCTTTTTCCTCTTTGTTGGCTCCCTGCCTGGAATACGGTGAACAGTTAATAAGTCACTGACAGCTCAGTGAGAAAATGAATTAATGCCTACATTTTTCAGTAAGAGTAATATGTTCCAATGTGTTGGCGACGATGTGGAGCAAAGATTGGCAAAAGGAGGATTGGAAACAGAGACCACGTCAGGAGGGAGTTGACAAAAGACACGAGTTAGGGATGGAGGCAAGAAGTGTTGTAGATGAGGACTCTTTCATGGAGGGAAGGAGATGGCAGAGGTGGAGTAGACTTCTGGGGGAAGAATGTGAGGAGGTTGTTTTATTTTTGTGGTTGTCAGGATCAACTGGAAATTGAAGTTGAGAGTCAGAAAGTCGGGTTCAGAAAGATCTGGGTTGCAGGTATAGACGTTGGAGGCATTTGTACATGGCTGGGTACATATGAACAAGATAGCCCTGGGAGAAGAAGTTGAAGCTAAGGAGAAGGGAAACAGCTAGATTGAATGCTAAGCACAGGCCAGGCATTGAGTTTAATATTCCCACATTCACTCCTTAACATAGCCTGCCATGACTTGTCTTCCCTTTATTCTCTCAGTACTTAATCCACAGCCATACCACGTGACCTTTGTGGTTCTATGTACACTTTGTGGCTCATTATAGTTACTCAGCCTACGGAGTCCTTTTACATCACACTCTTGGCCCTTCAGAGCTACACCTCGTGTATTGAGCTCCCCATTGAGCTCTCCTCCTCCCACTAGCTCATTTGTTACACTTTTGCTAGAGTGGTCTTTTGAAAACCCAGGATTACCACATGCCACAAGAGAAGTGCCAGTTGATGGCACATGTTCTTTTGCTCTCTAGTAGAACATATGTTTGAAACCCTCAATACTTCATTGTGTTCTACAATTTATGTGAAGACTGCAGGACATTCGTCTGGAAGTTCTAAAACAGCTGCTGAGGAAACGTGAAGAGAATCAAAATGACGTGAACACACAGAACTTGAACGCCAAATGGTCTAAACTGCAGGAAGCGAAGGAGGCAAAAGTGGCAAAAATTCAACGCAGACACGTCGCAGGTAATGGCAGGAGAACTGAAGAAACAGAAAAAGTTGGATTTGCTTTGGATCTTTAGCTGAACATTATTTAGCTATGCTACAACTCTTACTGGACCTTGTGTGGGGATGGGCAAAAATAGTGCAAACATTCAATTAACTCTATAAAAATTCTGTTTAGTGAATTTAACTTTTTAGTTTTTCTTGGCTGAGAAAGATAACTTTTAAACTAATTCTAGATCTGTTTATCTTTTTCCTTTTCAATAATTGACAAACTCAATGATGGATTGACTGCATTTGACTAAATGATTATTTAATAAACATAAATGACTTTTATTGAATTCTAGAAGCCCTAAGACTGAAACATAAACAGGCACAAGACGTGCAGACAGTTCTTGGGATGTGACTTTGTAGTCTTGAAGTCTGATTTCAGCCCTGGTTAGAAGCGATGGTATAGAGCCTTCACTGGAGTGTGGGGTCTGCGAGTAAGATTTGGAAGGAATGGAACAATTGGAGGTAGCAAGCATGTCCTTCAATGAGAATACTCCTAGTGTGTAAACTTGAGTCTTTGGCACTGACTGCCAAACAATTCTGAAAACTAGAGCTGGAACATATTCTGCTGCCAGGTATTGGTTAGGATGGAAGAAATTATTGAAGAACCTGTAGAATCCCTTTAAATTACTCTTCTCTAGGAGATGAATTGTCCTGGTTCTTCATTACCCATCCTATTTTCTTCTTTCAGTTGTTTCCTTCATTCATTAACAAATTCTCATTGAATACTTCCTCTTGGTCTTGTGCTTGGGAACAGTTAAAACAGGTCTCTGATGAGTACCGATTGGGGACACTGGCAGATTCAACTCTGTCACACCCACCGGTCTTGTGACAGTCTGGGTCACAGAGATGACACTTCTTTGCTTTTCGTGTTGTCTAGTGATCATCATGCAATTCATTCATTTGAGTAAATCCTTTGGGCATGAAATTCGTGTTGGTCTACTGTTTTACCTCTGAATCATTCAGAACAATATTTTAGACATAGTCATGCAGATGTGTTTTATTTTAGCAATCAGAAAACTTGTAGGAAAGGGAAAGATTATGGAAGGAAAATTGGAGAGAAGAAATATCATCCGGGATTATTCTGATTATGCATCACAGATCTATGGGCCCCTATCTCGCCTTGGTCGCTTCCCAGACAACAACTCAGAGAACTTTGTGGTCAAAAACCACTTTCTCAGTACCTATGAAGGTAAGTAACTTATAAAAGTAGAGCTACAATATAAGAATTTATCTTAGAAATGGAAATTAAATATGTAAAACATAATTATGTTTACATTAAAAGGTAAACAAAAACACTGATAATAAGCAGCAGGTCTGATGTTACTTATATGAGTTCACACAAACCAATAAAATATTAAGACTCAAATAAATAAATGAATATACTATAGAATAACTTAAAACATACACTATTAGAATAACTTAACAATTCGATGAGCTACTGAGCATTTAAAAATGTGTAATATTACTAATATTCGAGGTATACAAAAATCAAATAGAACTGGTATATTATTTTTGCCAAATTTGAAATGATAAAGAAAAATAAGAATACCTAATTCATTCAAGAGCAAACTCATAAAGCCCTAATGCAACTTTTTATTAATATACATTAGGAATGTAATTTGGCACAATA